TTTAATAATTTAACCTTAGTTTATTGTAATTTTTTTTACTTTATAAACTTTAAAAATATTTTTAACTCTTCGAGGTTTTTTGTAATAACACAGCTTAAAACACAAACACATTGTATAGCTGTACAAAATAATTTCTTTAATCCTTATTCTATAAGCTTTTTTCTATTTTTAAATATTTTTATTTTTTACTTTACCTTTTAAACTTGTAAAAACTAAGATACAAACCCACACATTAGCTTAGGTCTACACAGAGTGAAGATCATCAATATCACTGTCTTCTACCTCCATATCTTGTCTCACTGGAAGGTCTTCAGGGACAGTAACATGCCTGGAGCTCTCATTTCCTATGATAACAATCCCTTCTTCTGGAATACCTCCTGAAAGACCTGCCTGAGGCTGTTTAATAATTAAGTTTTTTTAATAAGTAGAAGTACACTCTAATGATAAAATATAGTAAATACATAAACTATAACATCATCATTTATTATCATTGTTATGTACCTTATGGAATTGTACAGTATGTACTACACTTTTATACAACTGGAAGTGCAATAGGTTTGTTTATACCAGCTTCATCAAAAACATGTGAGTTGTGTGCTGCTAAATTCTGATGGCTACAAAGTTACTAGCAGATAAGAATTTTTCAGCTCTATTGTAATCTTACGGGACCGCTGTTGTATATGTGGTCAATCATTGTCTGCAATGTTATGCAGTGCATGATTGTATTTTGTAAATTTTTTTTTAGTTCTTGCATAGGATTTCATTAAAGTGAAAGCATATGTGTGTCCATGACAGAAATAAATTAGCAATAGTAATTTCCCAGTCTAGTAGAACTTTCTTTCCTTCTTCTTTTTTTTTTTTTTTTTTGAGACAGACTCTTAATCTGTTGGTCAGGCTGGACTGCAGTGGCACAATCTTGGCTCACTGCCAACTCCACCTCCTGTGCTCAAGCAATTCTCCTGCCTCAGCCTCCCCAGTAGCTGGGACTATAGGTGTGCACCACCACACCGGCTGATTTTTGTATTTTTAGTAGAGATGAGTTTTCATTGTGTTGGCCAGGCCAGTCTTGAACTCCTGACCTCATGTGATCTGCTTGCCTCAGCCTCCCACTGCGATGGGATTACAGGAGTGAGCCCACTGTGCCTGGCCTCTAGATGGGACTTTGAAACTCAACAGGAAACAGGTGTATCAGGTACAAATTTTGAATTTAAATGTGAATAATAGTTCTTTAATGATATAAAATTTGCCAGAATTTTATTTAAATTCAGTAAAAGAGCTTGATTATTTCTGGAAATTAAAAACAAATAATTCAACAAATAAGAATATTTCCATACAGTGTAGGCTTCTTGATGTGGTACAAAAGCTAAGATTAAGAATGAGGTAAGATTTGCTCTATGTACATGCTCCATCCTTTACAAGTTGCTGATTCCAGGCCAGTCACTTAAACTCTCAGAGACTTTTCTTGTGTTTAAATAAAGAATGCTATTTGAATTTCCTACATTCTACGCTCACTCTAAGATTGAAGCTTTATGATGTATACACAGAAACCTCTAAACTCTGAGCATGAGACTAAAATTTAGGCATGAAGTATGCTCATTGCTAATGTGGTATCACTGCTTCTAGAGATTTTCAGTAGATAGAGCTAATAAATGTTATGTATGTAGACCCATTTCTGTATCTATGTATTTTAAAATAAGAATGGGTTCACAAATTAATGTCTACATCTCTAAACTAGCAATACAAGGTTAATTTTAGCCATCTCTCCTTGCTAATTATGACTTCTTTCTCTAGCAATATGAAACCTATCTCCCAATATCTATAATTTATTTACTTATCATTCCACCCTAATATACATGCAAAGTACTTTCATAATTGCTAACCTGCGCTCCTTTGAAAAAAAATCAACTAAAATACAATGTCTATGTATAGGTCTTTGTATAGTTAGCCTCATCCTTTGCAGGTTTTGTCCTTTAAAAATACTGTTTTCCAAAATATAGGCTAGATCCTTTGACTTCATCACCTTCAGTAAGCTTATATATTACATTTGTAATATGGTTAGGTTCACTTGTCAGTTTTCCACCCCATTTGGGGATATTACATCTTATTCATTTTCTTTCTTTCTTCCTTTTTTTTTTTTTTTAATGTGTATGCTGCAGAGATTACTCATTGTGTTGTACAGTTCTATGGGTTTTGACGAGCACAGTAATTTGTCCAGCACCACGGACAGTTCCACTGCCATTAAAATTTCCTCATGCAATCAATGATTTTGTAGTTAACCCTCCTATATCTGTAACTCAATGTATCTCTAATTTGGGCAACCATTGATCTATTTCCCATCTTTATGTTTTGGTTTTTCCAGGGTTTAAGATACATTGAATTATATATCTTAAATATGTAGTCATTTGGGCTTCCCTTCTTTCACTTAGCAAAACGCACCAAAACGTTCATCCATGATGTGCATACATCAATAATTCTCTTTTTAAAATATTTGAATAGTATTCCCTTTTATAGATTTACAACAGTCTGTTCATTCATTTACCAGCTGAAGACAGCATATTAGTTATTTCCAAATTTTGGCAATTGAAGTCAAAGTTTCTGTAAATATTCCCGTATTGTTTTTCTGTGTCAAATATGTTTTTCAATTCACTTGGGTAAATACTTAGGAGTGGGATCACTGGATCATATATTAAGCAAGCATCTGACTTCATAGCAAACTTGCACATACGTTTTTCAAAGTGGCTGTACCATTTTGAATTGCCAACAGTAATGAAAGTAGTGAATGAGAGTCTCCGTGGCTCTGCATGCTTACGAATATTTGATATTGTTAGACTTTTAATTTATTTATCCATCTTTAACAGGTATGTTCTGGCACCTTATTGTGGTTTTCATTTGTATCTCCCTAGTGAAAATCTCCTCTTACTCTTATTAGTCATCCGTACATCTTCTTTGGTAAAGCTCAGATATTTTACCAGGAAAATTGGATTTACTTTCTTATTTTTAAGAGTTTCTTTTCATATATATTATGGACACAAATCTTTTATCAGATATGTGATTCACAAATCTGATGCCCATATTTTCATTCTTTTAAGAATGTGTTTGATGGAACAATTTTTTTAAATGTTAGATTTTTTTTTTCTATTGATTTACTCCTTGTAATGAGGAGGGCTGTGATCAGCAAATTACTTTAGTTACAACAAAGCAAGTACACGGAAGCTAATAAAAAGCCCCCAAATTCCAACGTGTATTATAGCTTAGAAGTACACATTTGGTATATTTTCTTCTCTATAATTTCTCATAAACATGGGATTCTATAAAACTCCATTTTAAGTAATAAGTTTAGGGTTTGACTTTTTTTCTCATTGAAATTTTAAAGTCATACTCCTTTGATGTGGTCTGAAGTTGGCCTTCAAAATTCCTGTTAGGTAACAGAACCAAAGTATTATATCAGTGATCCTCTGGAGCAGAGTTTCCAGTATGGAAGCTACCAGCCACGAGACAGCTGAGCACTTGAAATACAGCTAGCATCATTGAGAAGATGACTATCAGTTTAAATTTAAAAGCTGACACTTGATTTAGTTATTGGAACAGTTTTAAATATCTGTAGGACAATTTGGGCTTGTGAATCTACTTTTTCGAATGTAAATTTTATTAAGTCTAAGTATAAATCAAGTATATTCAACAAAACTTTAGTATCCGAATTGAGATGTTCTGTAAGTACACACTGGATTTCAAGGACTTAGTGTGAAAAAAAGAATGCAAAGTGTCTTGTTCTTTTCTTTACATTAGTCATATGATAAAATAACTATATTTGGAATGTACAGGGTAAATAAATAAAATATATCATTAAGACTCATTTCACCTGCTTCTTTTTACTTTTTAAAAAGTGTGGCCATAAGAAAAATTTAAATAACATATGCAGTTCACATTACAATTTTATTAGATAGCACTGCTATAGAATATGATAATATGTATTAAATCATATTTTGTGTTGCAGTGGACTCAGAGTTCTGAAACGGGGATGTTAATAACCTATCCACCACCACCTCCAATTCTCTGATAGCTTTATATCCTCAGACAGGAGCTTAGCAAAACAAGGGCTGAAGAGAATAGAGAGTAAGACTTGAGAAAGAATTTTAGGTCTGACGATATTAGGTGTTGTTAAGGAACAGTATCTCCTGATGCCCTAAACATACCGTAAATTGTAGGGACACTACTGATTCCTGATGGGTTCCAGTTCATAGCTTGCTTTCACTCAAGGAAAAGGGACTGGGCTGTTTTATTTCTTTCTCATTGACATGAGTAACACTTATTGCTTCATAGTATCTCTTAACTCAAAAACAAAGCACAGTATCCCAGAATTGTACTTCCTTCCTTATTTTTTAATAATGTGAAATGAACAGTAAGAGGTTCACATCTGTGTAAAGATTACTTTTCTTTTTTTCATTTAACTTATTAAGTTAACTTAATAACTTATTTAACTTATTAAGTTACATATATATGAATATATATACTCAATATATTCTTATATTCATATATAAGAATTATTTAGTGGTATAGGCATTATCTACCCCAAATTAAAATCCATTTTCAAAAGATAACTAATATAAAAAGAAATTGACCTAAATTTAAAATTAGATTGCAAATTATATTGAGAACATAACATTTTCCATGTCCAATATTTATTTACAGTTTTCTAGAAAACACAAGAGTATAGAAATTTTAAGATTAACTGTAAGATTTATTTTAAAATATGATTAGACATGATCGATATATTATCCTACCTACCATGACAGAAAATTATTTTAAACTTTTACTTTGATAGAATGTTAAAACTAAGTTTATAGAAGATCTCCTCATAGAAGCTAACCTTCTGAAATTATTCTGTACCTTGGATGGGTTTTAGTTCATAATTTTCTGAAAAAATATATATCATCTATAAGTTCTAACTGAACAATTTCTCCCATAGTCAAGCTAGATTGAGAAAGTAAATATATACTTACAATATAGAGAACATATCATGGGAAGCACATAGACAGTTGTTATACTACTTCACTGTCTTATCAAATCCTTGAGTTATTACATTCTAAACCTGATGAGAAAGAAAAATAAAGAAGTATGTTAGTTAAATGCACTGGATATACTATATATGTAGCTAGATAACCAAAAAAATCTAAAAGAAATAATGCATGATAAAAACAAAAATCTTTCTGTATTATTGCGTTCTTTGCTGATATCTATTTGTGATTTCCGTTAAATTTAAAAAAAAATGTTATTGATGGCCGGGTGCAGTGGCTCATGCCTGTAATCCCAGCACTTTGGGAGACTGAGACAGGTGAATCACTTGAGGTCAGGAGTTCAAGACCAGCCTGGCCAACATGGTGAAACCCTGTCTCTACTAAAAATATAAAAATTATCTGGGCACGGTGGCAGGCAACTGTAATCCCAGCTCCTGGGGAGGCTGAGGCAGGAGAATCACTTGAACCTGGGAAATGGAGGTTACAATGAGTTGAGGTCACACCACTGCACTCCAGCCACAGTGACAGAGCAAGACTCTGTCTCAAAAAAAAATAAAAAAAAGTTATTGAATACCTTAAATAGTTACAATATATAAGGGAAATATCATTAAAAAGAATGAATGATCTAGGTTATAGTTGAAACTCTAAGAAAGTGAGTATAAGATACCTTGATAATTAAATATATTTAAAATTTCCCGTTTACAGAATAAATTGTGCCCATGGCACAAAAAACAAACTAACAAAAAAGTTGCTAAATCATCTGGATGTATACAACTATACGAATGCTTATAAAAATAAAGATCAAACAATTCGCTAATTTGCCTAAACATTTGTCATTTTAACGGTGATGTGTGTTAGCCAACATACATGATTAGCACAAACAGAGGTAAACGCTTTCAAATTGTATTGAATTAAGTACTCTATAATGAATAAGGATTAGATTTAATACAAAGTGTGAAACTGACCCACTGGCATTCACTTACCCCAATCAAGAACAAATATTTTTAAACTATGGAATAACTTAAAGTATATAAAGGGCAGATTCAGTTTTCTCTTTAAGATAATGCCCCCGCAAGTATGTTATATAAACTTATCCCCTGTCAAAAAATGCATTTTTGCTATAGAACAGACCCAAGGGAATTCGTACACTTAGCACTAACCAAAAATACTTGTTAAGTATCTTGTACTCATTGCATACACCCCTGTGCACACGCTTGCGCACACACACAAACACGTTTTGTTCTGATTTTATGTCCCTCAAACACTTGCATTTTTTTCTTTCCTACAGCAGTCAATTTTAAAACAAAATTCAATCTGATTTCTTTGTGGATTTCCACATAGCCTTGGATTATGCTTGAAAGAGAAATAATTTAATTTTCCACTGAATAAGGGGGAAAAAGTACCTTTTCCCCCTTATACTTTGATATTGGATTCAAACACATTTAAAGATAATACAGATATGAAGAAATTGATCTATCTTGTCTTTAAAAAGTCGACTATCACCTAATTGTTCTTTTTTCAAATGTGTAACAGTTTGTAAATGAATAACTATATTTTGTAACATTTGTTTAGCGTTTTTATGGGTGTATGTGATTGTCATATAATTATCAAAGCATTATTGTAAGGTAGGTTTTAGTTTTCTCATTTTGAAAGGTTCTGATAACTCAGACAACTGGTACATATTAAGAAGCTGGAAGGTATTGTAGCTGTGGATCAAATCCAAACCTAACTTCAAAATGTCTCCTCTTTCTTATTACAATCTTCACTTGCACATGGCTTCCGGATGTTGTTTGTAGGGCTATTCTGCTTAACTATCTACTTTCAATACTCTTAGAGGTCCCAATTAGAAAAAAATAATAAAATGCCTTAGAGAGTAAATTAATTTCTTTGTTGAAACTGTGTATAGCTGTCTTAGGATTGTTAAATGAGTAAAACCACAAACACAGTTATTGCATATAAAGTGTGCAGTGTATTGGTTACAATTCTTCACATAAAAGATCAAAATATTCAATCACTTAATAAAAACTAGAGAAGAGGCATAGATATCCATATATATTGGCTCCCAAACATCTGAGATAGATATATATATATATAAACTATTTGCTGTCACAACATTTGCTTTCATTGTACCAGTATTTTCTTGTTTTTGTTTTTACCATCCAACATCTGATTTGATGCTTTCAAAAAGACCTTGGCTGAGAAGTCAGAAAAATCAAACATTTAGAATTATTTCTAGAATGAGAGCAAATAGTGAGGGCCAGGAAGTGGCCTGAGTTCTTTTATCTATTTGGTAACTCAGATTTGTGCTTGTGTGTGTATGTGTGTTTCCCAAATCATGGTTATAATTTAGAGGCTCAGCATGCTGAATAAATCACACTTAAGTAATTGAGCTACTCTTTTGATTACTTTTGTTGATAATGTTTTATTTGAACTTAGTTTTTATTATCTCTATCTCCTTTTTTCTATTATGTGTAAGGAGAAAATCATTTTCTCCATTCCCTATATTTGTGTCCAAGCCAGTCAAATAATTATAGTGCATTTTTCTCTTTTGCTTTTCTACATGCCTTTCTTCCTACAATGGTAAGGCATCTACCTGCCATGGGGTAGAGGTGGGAAAGAGACACTCAATTTCTGTTTTTCAAGGCATTATTTTAATGTATAGTTTAACATCAGTCTTTAGAAAGCCCTTCAGTTTCTTCCTCCATATCAAGACCAGGCTTGATGGGTTAGTCTATTATTTGGATGTTTTGCCAAGACCCAGATGCTTAGTAACTTAAAGATGAAACATTAAGATGATTCACTAAGTGTTTTTACTTTTCATCTCGATGTTTGTCAACAAACATAAATGAGTGGGTTTGCATGGAATTTTATATAAAGGAGTTTCAAATCATGTAGAAAGAACAGGCCAAGCACAGTCGCTCAGGCCTGTAATCCCAGTACTTTGGGAGGCCCAGGCAGGAGGACCTCTTGAGGGCAGGAGTTTCAGACCAGTTTGGCTAACATAATTAGACCCTGTTTCTACCAAAAAAAAAAAAAAAGTTTTTTTTAAAAAAAAGCAGGCACATTTGTGCACACCTGTAGTCCCAGCTACTCAGGAAGCTGATGTGGGAAGATTGCTTGAGTCCAGGAGTTTGAGGTGATAGACTATCATGCCACTGCACTCCAGCCTTGGCGATAGAATGAGACCCTTAAAAAGAGCACAATAGGAAAAAAGCCCTCAGGCATTCTTTTGAGGAATGCCAGAATAGGTGGAGAGAAAGAGTGCAGTGGTAGAGAAAAGTGGATGCTACAGCTCTTGTCTGTTCTTCCCAGCTTCTCGAGGCCAATCCTCTAGGGGATGTATCTTTCGAAATTCTTAATTACATTGACGGGATGCTTAGGGTTTTTGCTTTCAAGTTTTGGAGGACATTGCTGTGCTGAGTAATCCCAAGTCAACATGAGGATCCCAAGTAGTAGCCAAGGAGGCCCTGTGGCATGACAGACTCACTTTGCAATCCCAAGTTTCCTTTGGCTATCATGCAATATGGATAATAAGTTGAGGGGGATTAATGGGCCTTCTATGAGCAAAATGGCTCAGCCAAGAAGGTTTATGAGGTTCACAGTTTTAACCAGGTGTCAGAAGAGAAAATTAGTAGAGACTCTGAGGAATCTGAGCATCAAGATCAAGGGCAGGCTGAATTAGCAAGGCCATTAGAAGAGACAGAGCTCAGAAAGAATTGACTGTGACGGGTGTCGGCAGTAGAGTGGGACTGGAAAGGCCCACTGAAGAGAAGCAGCCAGAAAAGGATGGTTTCATGAAGGAGGCCATGTTTGAGTTGAAGACAATGACTCACCCTTATATTCAAGATCTAGCATTACAAGGAGAGTAGACACAAAGTGCAAAGGCCCAGGACAGTAACAAGCACTGCATGTTCAAACAAAAAAGAAAAACACCCCAGTATACCTGTAGCTATAGTTACCCGGGGCACTATGGGTAGGGTGGGTGTGAGGGGAAGGGTAAGACAACCAGGTAGCAGCAGGTCTTGATGGGCCTCAAAGGCCATTGTAAAGAGTTTAGAGTTTATAGTGCATTGGATACAAGAGGGTTTTGGCTGGGGACTAGCATGATCTGAATACAATTTTAAATGATCACTTCAGCTGTCCTATTGACAATAGAGGGGCAAGGCTGGAAGCAGTAGCCAGTTCAAAGGCTATTACTGTCCTTGAATTGAGGACAATGTTGGTTGTTAGGTTTGGTGGAAATAAGTGTTTGGATTTGGAATACATTTGATATATTTGAATAAAGTATTAAATCCAATTCATTAGTATGGTCATTTCACAAACACAAATGCATCATTGAGTCATCATTTTTGAATCATTGTTGAGTAATTTTTTTTTTGCAGAGAAAGGTCAGTTTAAATAATAAAAATTAGATTTTTATTCAAGATACTTTAGTAAATTTGGGGGAAAATACACCAAAGGTGAAAAATATGGAGAGACACTAGTTTTATATAATTGTTTTCAGTTGCTGTTGAATTAAAGATAGTGCAAATGATTAAGAAAAACACTACACAATCTATAAATATGAAAGAACAAGGAAATGGCCAAATGGAGCATTATTTATTTAAAAAGAAGCTTCAGAGAACTCTGAAAGATGTTGTTAGAAATACCTCAGATATATTGAAAACTGAATTCCAATAATAGGAGCAAACTTCTTAATTCAGCTGACCAGATGAGATTAAAGGACATTGAATTTTGAAAAATAATGACAAGTACTATGTGCTCTTTATAATAAGTGAGCGTTGCTGCCAAGAGAGGTCATGGAGCCAAATCCTGTGACTGTACTTTAAGTAGAATTTTATGACTTCAAAATTTTATGACTGGGTCTTTAAGCTTTTTTTAATTCAACATACATTTTCTAAATGTCTTCTATGTAACAGAGAGTTGCTAGGGGTTATGGCCATAAGGGTTCCTAAGACACTCTCTCTGCCCTCGAAATCTTCACAGTCTAGAAGCGGAAGGGGAAAAACAGAAATGAACTGTGTGTGTACAAAAGAACTGTGTGTGTGTATCTGGCTTCTGGTACACATGTAGT